AACACAATAAGATATATTTATTGAGTATACCATGGCTCAGTTATTTATGGTGGCATGTGTGTAATATGTAAAATGACCTTTATTAAAAGGAAAACTTTTTAGATAGAAGTAAACTTAAAAAATACAAGAGACTGTTTCTCAACTGTTATACATTAGAAAATAACTGACATATTATGAACACCCTGTTGATCAACAGCGTACCACTTATTGCACTGGTAAACCCATAAAAAATTAAAACATACCGTGTTTTGTTTTAGGGTTATTTTATAGAAGTGATTGGTTGGGTTCAACAGTTAACCCTTTCACTCCTAAGATTTTATCAGTAATTATCCTTACAGTTTGTTATATAATTGTTATAATGTAAGTTTGGAGAATTTGGTATTGAATTAAGTAATAATCCCCTAATTGATTTGATATTGAATTGATATTTTTCTTTATTCTCATGACTTGTTGGCTTGATATTCTAGTGATATTATTAGGAGAAATTCTGTCTTAATCACTCACGAGAATTGTAAAAAGTCAGGGCTGTAAATTAAATCATTCAGATTTTTTCTCACGTCTGACTCGTATAAAAGCTTGATAATAAAAATTACCAAACAAACCCAGCATGCTGAGGCCATAGAAAATACTATAAACACAGAAACCATGATGAGCATAGCCAAAAGAAGAGTGTACAATACCAACGACAAATTGAACCATTTGAAGTTGTGTCATTGTCTTCTTCCACTGCGGCCTCTGGGTGGGGTTCAGTGCCGCTTGGCCATAGTAAAGATAAAGAAATACATGTACAAAGGAGTTCATCCCTAACATAACCCCAATTGCTGGCCAGGGGGTGAAATGGCAGGCATAGTCACTCAGGAGTAAGATTGATGCATGATGGTACACCTAACATGAAGGAAATAAAAAGTATGCAGATGTAATATTTGCTAAATTGGGGAACTTAGATATTTTCGGAGTCAACTCATTGCAAATAGCTAAATTTATGTTTTATTATCATAATCAACCATTGCCACTGATGTTTCTCAGCTTGTTCCCTGCAGACAAGCAAGTACACAGTTATGATACAAGAATAGCTAATTACTATCGACCACATAACTGTCGTACTAATCTAAAACAATTTACAGTACTATACCAAGGTCCTAAAATTTGGAATTCTCTCCCAATATTGATGACTGGTTTGACTAGTTTTTTTACTTTTAAAAGAAAGATGATTTATTTTTCATTGAAATGAGTCCCAATTGGCCAAGCCACATATCCACATCCCCTATAAACCTGGTGGTTTCTTGGAGGTCTCCTTGCCCTTCCATACTGTTGAACCTGTACATTAAATATTATATCTTAAGTGAAAAAAAAGATTAGATTACACCAGGCACATGAAAACCTATACAGAGCTGGTACCACAAAATTTTAATGAGGAGGGGTGAGGTCTAATCTTTGATTTAGAGGACACACCCATGTCTGATGGGAAGGGGGTTGGATGCCTCAACCCTCTCCATAAATCTGCCTATCACCCTAACATCAGTAAGCATATTATTTGTACTGTTCTCTACAAATTTCCAATCCTTAAAGGATTTAATTAAACAGACTTACATGTAAAAAGGTGATTTGTCTTTGGCGATGCCTAAGAATCATGAACACTGTGTCCAACAGCTCCAAGTGTTTGGTGAATAAGTAAATGGTAAAGGCATGTTTGACATCTGCGTCATGTTCCATAGCAAAAACATATAACAAACCACCCTGATAGTATGCCTTGACTATAACAGCGAAAGAATACAGGCTCAGAGCACTGCACAAGAAGTTGTATGCCACTAAAACCTATCAAGAAAACATGTCATAATTTATTAGAAGATACAGTAAAGGGTTTGAACACAGGAGTAACATTTGATCATGTACTTTGCAAGAATACATGATCAAATGTATCATGAGAGAGGTGAATCAAATGCATTGTGGGAGAAGTCCTAGGAAAGATTGTTGTCTATGGTTGTGACTGATCATTTGAAAACCTCAGTGGAAGTCATTGTCAGAGTCAAGTAA